TTTTTTTTTTTTTTTTTGCCTTCTGTTTCTCCTCTTCCTCTTCTTTCCCACACCCACTTAGCTCCACATACCACATCTTCCCCCCTCACTCTTGCCTATCTGCACTGTGCACTGATCATCACGCCCCCAAGCAGCACAGGTACAGTCTACCAGAACCTACCTTGAAATGCTCCCTGGCCCTGCCCTGCCGACCCCAGTTCCTGCTGCAAACGACCAATCCCAGCCCCACTCCCATGCTGGACCTGCCCTGCTGCACCATAGCTAAGCAAATGGCCCTGCCCATTGAACAAGGTGGTGGGAAGTACTGTGCCCACAGACAAGCAAACAACAAAGAACGCCAAGCCCACCTGCTCAGACATAACCAAATAAAACAGAAAAGCAGGAAGAAACAAAAATCTACAATCAATAAATGAAGAAAATACTCAATATCCCAAAGACAGTAGACAATATCAAAACATATTTAAAACACAGGACAGGATGGTTCCAGCAGGTGTCCAAAATAAAACACCAGATGACCTTCCAGTAGAGGAAAAGGCACTGGAACCCTGAAAGGGAATTCAAATCTCTAATATTTAGGGCTATCCAAGAGATGAAGGAAAGAGCAGACCAAAATGAGGAAAAAATAGACAAAATCATGGAAAAGACAGACAAAACAATGGAAGAGTTCAGGAAAATAATACAGAAACAAAATGTCAAAATAAACTCACAATTAGATATCATTAAAAAAAAAAAAACCCAGCAATTAGAAATCAAAAGATAAACAAGATTTCAGAAATGGACAGTGTCATAGAAGGTTTGAGGAGCAGGGTTGAAACAATGGAAGACAGGATCAGTGAAATTAAGGACAAATTCATGGATACTACTTTGTTTGAGGAAAATTCAGAGGAAAGAACCAAGAAAAATGAAGAAACATTGAGAACGATATAGGCTACAATCAAAAGCAAAAATTTGGGAGTGATTGGAGTTCCAGAACAGGCGGAGGAAACAGAAAACACAGAGAGGATCATTGAAGAATTGCTAACAGAAAACTTCCCTAATATCATGAAGGATGAAAAGCTGACCATCCAAGAAGCTCAACAAACCCCATACAGGATAGACTTCAAGAGAAAATAACTGAGGCATATCATAATTACACTCGCTAAAACCAAAGACAAAGAAAGAATCCTGGGAGCAGCTCAAGAAAAGTGAAAAGTCGCATACAGAGAGGAAACAATAAGACTAAGCTCTGATTACTTGGCAGAAACCATGCAGACAAGAAGGCAAGGGGTCACACATATAAAACCTTGAAAGAAAATAATTCTCAACCAAGAATAATATATCCTGTAAAACTCTTGCTCAAATACGATGGTGAAATTAGGACATTTCCAGAGACTGGAGACATCCCGAGAGTATGGCCCCTGGACACCCTTATAGCTCAGTAATGAAGTCGCTCCTGAGGTTCACCCTTCAGCCAAAGATTAGACAGGCCCATAAAACCAAATGAGACTAAATGGGCACACCAGCCCAGGGGCAAGGATGAGAAAGCAGGAGGGGACAGGAAAGATGGTAATAGGGAACCCAAGGTGGAGAAGGAGAGAGTTTTGGCGTGTCTTAGGGTTGGCAACCAATCTCACAAAACAATATGTACACTAATTGTTTACTGAGAAACTAGTTTCTTCTGTAAACCTTCATCTAAAGTACAATTTAAAAAAAAAAAAAGTTTAAGAGATACAGCTAAGCAGCCTCTGAAGACAACTGACAGCCACACTCATAGGGCATGAGATCTATAAACATGTCAATCCACACATTTCACATATAATTTTTGGGAGTTCACAGGTCCCCTGGAGCCCAATCAGGACTCCAGGCCAAGGCACCACAGCAGGTCAGTGGAAAGCTGTGATAACATCTTATTCACCTCAGGCAGGAGCTGCCTTAGAATGGCTGCCTCTGATTCTAGGGCTTCGAACCAGTTCATTCCAATTTGAACCCCTACTGAGAATCTGCATTTCTAACAAGTTCCCCAAAACCCAAACCCACTGCCATCAAGTTGATTCTGACTCATGGTGACCCTATAGGACAGAGAGTAGAACTGCCCCAAAGGGTTTCTAAGGCTGTGAATCTTCATGGAAGCAGACTGCCACATTTTTCTCCAGCAGAGGGCTGGTGGGTTCGAACCGCCAACTTTCTGGTTAGCGGCTGAGTGCTTCTAACCACTGCACCACCAGACCTTACTTAACAAGTTCCCAGGGGATGTTAATGCTGCTGCTGGTTAGGGATCAATTCCGAGAATGAGTAGTACGGCAGTCGTTCTCAACTTTTATTATACCTAAGAATCACCTGGGGATCTTGTTAAACTGTCGATTCTGATTCAATATATCTGGGGTGGAAATGCAAATTCTCAGCAGCAAAACAAACTGATTCAAAGCCCTGTCTGATTCACGTGAGCAGTGCATTGCCCAGAAGAAAGACAGGGAAACTGCCAAACACAAATCTGTTCTTTGGTTTATTTATTTTCCTGTCTGTGTCCCTACAGGTGATTGCAAATAACTAACCAAAAGAAGTACCCGGGACTGTTTCGGACGTGGAAAGGTTACAGAAGGAAAAATAAAACAAAGTGGCAACTACATAAATCTTACCTTGGTGCCAGTCTTATTAGCAAATTGTCCTAATGTCCAAAAAATAAAAACCAAACCCGTTACCATCTAGCTGATTCTGACTCATGGAGACCCCATGTGTTACAGAGTAGAACTGCTTCATAAGGTTTTCTTGGCTATAATCTTTACAGAAGCAGATTGCCAGGCCTTTCTTCTGCAGTGCTGCTGGGTGAGTTCAAACCAACCTTTAGGTTAGTAGTTGAGTGCAAACCTTGCACCACCCAAGGACTTCATCCTAATGTCCAAAACCAAAACCAATTCCCATCGAGTTGATTCCAACTCATAGTGACCCTATAGGACACTGTAGAACTCCCTCATAAGGTTTCCAAGGAGCAGGTCGTAGATTCGAACTGCAACCTTTTGGTTACCAGACGAATCTTAACCACTGCACCACCAAGGCTCCTCCTAATGTCCAGGGGCCCTAAAAGCAAGAAATAAGCTGGGGTCACGACAGCCTAAAAGACCTCAGGGATGGGGCCTGGGATCCCAGGATTGCCCTGAAGTACCGGGGTCCCTCAGCAAGTCAGGCACTTGGGAGGCACAGGCCACGAATCAGAAGATCTGGGTTCTGGCCAGGTCTCTCTACTGGTTAACCACATTCCCCTGGACAAGTGATTTAAGCTCCCTCAACACAGGGTGCACGCCCCTGCCACCTTCCTAGGATAGGGTGGTATTCAAATCAAATGCAACGGGGAAATGTTTTGAAAACGGCAGAAGTTACCTTTGGAAGGAAGAAGAGTGTGAGCAAAATAAGGAGGGGAATGGGCAGAGAAGAGTCCATAGTCACCTAAGATTTGTTTTTTAAGACTACAACACAGGAAAAATTAGCAAATTTTAAAACTTCATTTAGAATCCACAGATAAAAGCTGTTCAGACTCCAGTAGCACCAAGCCTGCGGATCTAAGAGATGTTGGTTTCTTTATTGCCGAACATTCCCAGCAATCAGTGGCTTTCCAGCTGGGGCAATGTTGCCCCCCAGAGGACATTTGGTGATCTCTGGAGACATTTTTGGTTGTCACAACTTGGGAAAATGCTTCTGGCACCTAGTGGGTGGAGGCCAGGGATGCTGCTCAGCATCTCACAGTGCACAGGACAGCCTCCCACCACAGAGAAGCATCTGGCCCCAAATGACAATAGAAGGCACAGGGGCCACAGGCTTCGTTCACTAGCCAAGGAACCAGCCGTGGGTGAAGGGGCCACGTGGTGTCCACGGCATCCTTCAGCTCCTCTTCCTCCACTGCCCGTCCGCCCTTCCCGTCCAATATGGAAGTCTGTCTGCCCTCATGGGGAAGGAACAGTCACTCCACAGGCTAGAAAACCCTTCAAAGCATGACAGCCACAGTCATAGCGACGTCCAGGCCCGGAGCAGAAAGGTTTAGGGCTGTAGGTAAGGCAGGGTGTGGGGCCCGGGCCTCATTAAGTTTTAAAGAAAAGTTTTTTCCGGAGGAAATTAAAATAACCCGGCATCTGTTTGTAAATCCCTTTCTCTGAAACAGCATCGGCAACCTGTGAAGACATAAGCACAGAGCAGTCTGTGAGTTCTCGTTACTGATGTAAGAACTCAAAACGGGCTGGGAAAAAGTCCACTAAATCGGCACTTTATAGAGCAAAACTACTCAGTCGCAAAAGGACAAACATCGTATGATCTCACTTATATGAAATAAGCAAACATATAGAACCCAAAGATTATGAGTGGTTACCGGGGGTAGGAGGAAGGGGGAAGGGGAAATTTTTGCTTAGGTGGTAGAATGATTTGGAAAAGGATAGCGAGACTGGCAGCACAACATGAAAAATGTAATCAATGTCATCAAATTGTCAATGTGGAAGGTGTATTGGCTAATGTTGTGGCGTGCATATTTTCACCACAATAAAAAAAAAACACAGCTATAACTGCAGCCTCCTTCACTAGAGTGTTTTAAAAACAATCAACTCAACTGAAAGTTTAAAAAATTTAAAAATGACACTTAAAATGGTCAAAATGTCAATTTTTATGTTAAATATATCTTAGAGCAATAAAATTTTTTTTCACAAAGTTCAAAGCCGATTGGAAGGTTTGCTTGAAGAGAAGCCCAGAGGTCAGGCCCAGGAGCTGCATGTACTACCTAGCCCTGACTGTCCCCTCTCCCACCCACAGGGCCCCAGGCTGCCTGAGGTTCACTTGCCCAAGGACCACCACAAGGGGCGCCCCCTGGCGTTCTGCCAGGTGTGGCCCTGCACTTGCTTCTCTTCTCTCCTCAGCTCTGCTCAGCAGGGCACAGAGCCGGAGCCTCCCTCAGGAGAAAGGAGTGGTCCCCGTCCTACGGCCCCTTCCCATGGCACAAAATACCTGGGCAGAGCAGAAGGAACCCTAGTGTGCTAATGCCCAAAGGCAAGGATGAGGCTCTAGATCCTCGGTGGAGGCAACTGCTTGGAGTGGGGTTTTCACATAGGGGGCTGCAGCTCTATCAAGCCACCCTTCAGTGGTCTTCCTTCCATTAGGGCCTCCTGAGAGGGGCTATTCTAAAGGGGAGTCATGGTTCTTGAAGAGCATGACTATGCAGAGGGGTAAAGGATGCCGGGACAGCCCCACAGCCTGTCTCCTTAGGTGCCATGCTTGGCCACTGAGCTTCCCAGCCTGGCCCTGGGGACCCACACCATCGGGGGGGAGGGGAGCTTGCTGGTTTCAGCCTAGGAGCCTCAGAGGAGACAGCGAGGAATGGCAGCCCTGGGGGACCCCCAAAGGGCAAATGTTACCACAGGCAGTTCTGTCTCACATTAAGAGAAGAAAGAGCACAGACTCTCATGGCAAATCAAGGCACAGAAGCAGACGGGGTGCTTACTGTCTCTTACCTTTGGTTTGGGCTTTATGCGTCTCAAGTCAGGCTGGCACCCTGCTTGGCCCCCCCCCACCTACACAGAGGAGGGCACCCTGCTCCCAGCATGTGCCCCCTTCTGCAAGAAGGCAGGCCTCACCCTGAGCAGAAGAGTCTGCAGGTCTTCAGAGTCAGCCCACTGCTCCAAGACACCGTCCAGGATCTCGATGTACCAGGAGCCACTCCTGGTATCCCTCCAGGAGACAAAACCTTAGGAAAGAGAAAGGCTGGACCCTGTCAGTGGGCCAGGGCCCCCCCAGGTCACCCCCCTCCCTGGGCATGGAGGCTTTCTCCACCTCTGGACTCTGACACAGTTTCACATCTAGCATAAACAGCCCATGTTTCTGCGGCTCTGTCCCCTCTGTGATCATATTTCATCCTCACAACCACCTTGGGACTTTAGTTATGCTTCCTATCTTCCCAACCAGGTAACCAAGGCTCAGAAAAGTCAGGTGGCTTCCCTACAGGTATGCAGAAACTAACACCTATTCTGTGCCAGCCACTGTGCTCAGTGACGTGCCAGCCACCTTGTTTAATTCCCATGACAACCCGTGAGGTACAATTACATTCCCATTTTAAAGATGAGAAGGCTGAGGCAGGGCCAGGACCAGGGTGAGGTAAGTGAAGCACACGTACCCAAGAGCATGTGCCTCCTTAAGCTTTGCACCCTAGGGCCACCTTGCCTTGCCCTGGGCTGGGCTCGGAGTCACACAGGTGGCAAGAGGCAGAACAGGTCTCTTCTTCCCCATCACAGTGGCCCCTAGGGAAGGTGAGAGGACTCACCAGGCTGGGAGCACCAGTCCCCTGCGGCACTCACCTGGGAAGGTGGAATAGGACACGAAGATGTCGCTGGGTGTGGGCAGACTAGCCACGGCGTCTGGCTGGTCGGAGCTCCCTGGGCCTTCCTGGAACGGGGCGGCGTCTGACTCGGGGTTACTGCCAGAGGCCCAGTCTTCGGAGGAAGCAGAGGCCACCTCAAATCCATGGTCTTTCTGCTCTGAAGGAAGCAGAAACAAACACCAGCTTGTCACCGAAACATGGACCATTTTCCTGGTGAAAAGCGAGTTCCTTTCCTCGCTTCTTGGCATCATCCAGCCTGTCCCCAGCCCAAGACGGTCTGATTTCCTCTGGACCCAGGGTCTCAGTGTCGGGCAGACACGAGCAGGAAACAGAAACAGAGCTTTACTTCAAAGAAATGATAAAAGTAGCACATGTCTTACGGACTGAATTGTGTTCCCCAAAGAAGATACGGTGAGGTCCTAACCCCTATACCTGTGAATGGGACTTTGTTCGGAAATAGGGTTTCGAAGACATTATCAGTTACCGTGAGGTCATACTGGAGTAGGGTGGTCCTAATCCAATCATAGTGGTGTCCTTATAAAACAGTGGAAGAGACACAGAGAGACACTCCGGGAAGACCACGTGAATGAAGACCCATCTACAAGCCAAGAAGCACCCAGGGCTACCAGAAGCTGAGAGACACAGGAGAGGATCCGCATCTACAGCTTCAGAGAGCGCATGGCCCTGCCACATCCTGAATGCAGACAACTAGCCTCCAGAACTGTGAGACGATAAATTTCCGCTCTATAAGCCACCCAATTTGTGGCGTTTTGTATAACAGCCCTGGGAAACCAATACAATGCTGATTAAATAAGATTTGAGGGAGAAAAAAGGAGAATGCAGAAATTTTACAAACAGCTCTAAAAACCAGTCACGGAACAGTATGTAAAGACGGCCCATTTGGCATATTTATTACAGATACATAGACAGAACAGACAGATAGATGGGTAGGTAGGTAAATAATAGATAGGAAGAAAAGGTAGATAATAGATAGGAAGAAAAGTCTGGAAGGAAACACACCAACAGTTAACAGTTAACAATGTGATTAACAATCCTGAGGAACAGGACTGGAGGTGGGGGTTGGCAGAAGCCTTTTACCTTTCACCTTTATACACCCCTGAAGTCTTTTGGTTTTAATGAGCACGAACAACTTTTGATCTCTGAGTGTACCTCTAATACCTCCATTCGTCATTTTGTAGTTAGTTGCTGTTTTTAACCACATTTACGGCCTCTGCCCTACCACACATTAAAACTTCAACCTAACGATTAAAAAACAAATTAGAACAGAGCCTAGCCATCTTCACACCACTGCAAAGACAACTGTGGCTGCTAACAGTTTGCTGCATCTCCTTCCAGTCTTCTATTTGTTGTCACCTGGTTATTAAGATGGCAAACCCTGGTGGCACAGTGGTTAAGAGCTATGGCTGCTAACCAAAAGGTCAGCAGTTTGAATCCACCAGACGCTCCTTGGAAACTATGGAGCAGTTTTACTCTGTCCTATAGGATCAGGGTCACTGTGACTTGGAATCATCTCCACGGCAATAAGTTTGGTTTTTTTGGTTGGTTATTTACACATCGCAGTTCAAGCAATTGTGCTTTTTCCCCTTATTATGGCAGCAAAGGATTTTCCACGGGTTATTACAGAGCCTTGTTTGAGATCATGGTTTATCACACGATGGTGAAAACATACACGCATGCACACATGTCCACACACGTACGCACACGTGTCCACACATGTACACGCACGCACATATGTCCATGCCCGCACACATGCCCACACACGCACACATGTCCACATGCGCACATGTCCACGCATGCACACATATCCACACACGTACACGTCTGTGTACACACATGTGCACACACATGTCCACACACGTTCACATGCACACAATTCTGCACGTACACATGTCCACATGTCCATGCATGTACACATGTCCACATGTCCACCCACGCACACATGGCCCCCACCCACACATGTCCACCCACGCACACATGTCCACACACACATGCAGACATACATGGCACCCCTGGGGTACAAAGCTCCAGCACAGGCACCAAGGGGAAACAAAGGTAAAGAGAAAATGGGCTCTTCTGTCTCAGGAGCTAAAAGCCCAAACTGAAAAAACTATGTCCTCAATTTACATTGAGAATCGCATTAAAAAAAAGAGCCATAGAAAGCTCATCTCTCTCTCTTTTTTTGGGTAGGAATATAGTGAGGAAAGTGTCCACTATATCACACAGTATCCCCTTTATGAAAAGGAGCCCTGGTGGCACAATGGTTAACCACTCGGCTGCTAACTGAAAGGTTGGTGGTTCAAACCCATCCAGCAGCTCCTCAGGAGAAAGATCTGCTCCTGTAAGATTACAACCTAAAAAACTCAATGGGGCAGTTCTGCTCTCTCACATGGGGTCACTATGGTCAGGATCAACTCAATGGCACCTAACAACATTCCCTTCATGACACTGAGGGAGGAAATTTTTTAGGTCACGGTACAGAGGCTGTTTCTCCTGAAAAATGCAGCTTCTGTCTTAAGGAGGCTGTGGATCTTATGAGTGATCTTACCTTGCCTCAGCTGCAAAGCCAAATTTGTTGGACACCACTAGCAAGTATCTAAGACCTTACCATATATGTATTTCTGGGTACCGAAATTACTCTTATTTTCTGCTTTCCTCAGATTTCCTCTCTCTTTATTTTCTTCTACTATACCATTTGTATTTGTTGTGTTAGCTACTGTTGAGTTGGCCCCCGGCTTATGGTGATCCCATGTACAGTGGAACAAAACACTGCCCAGTCCTACACCATCCCCATGTTCAGTTGAGGACTGGACCATTGTGATCCACAGGGTTTTTGTTGGCTGATTTTTGGAAGTACATCACCAGGCCTTTCTTCCTAGTCTTAGTCCCTAAAATATACCAAAACCTGTTCAGCATCATAGCAACACACAAGCCTCCACTGACAGACAGGTGGTAGCTGTGCATGAGATGTATTGACCAGGAATCGAACCCAGGTCTCCTGCTTGTATTTCTTAAGCTATCTCAAATCCTTTTCTAGAATCAAAGGAGGCATCAGAAGCATGCCAAATAATGACACAAAGTCACAAGTAACAGGATCCATGGAGATGCTTACACTTCTGGCCCAGTAATTCCACAAGTGGAAACATATCCTAAGGAATTAATTCAATTGAGGCCAAAAGCTCTGTGTTTATAATAAAGACATTTGTGGTCATGTTAGCCAAAAATTGGATATCACCTAAATGGCTAACATTAGGGAAGTGGTTTGGTACATTACTGCATATCACTGAAATGGGACATTATAAACTCATTTGAACTAGTGATGATGAAGACTGTGGAGACGTAGAAAAAGGCTTAAGGAATAATGTGAGATGAGAGAAGCAGACTGCCCGTGGGCCGGGATCCAATGGTAAGAGGCAAAATGAGATGCCTGTCAGGTTCCCAGGACGCTGGAGGATTTTTTTTTTTTTTTTAAGTTGTTATCTTTTCTGTCTTTTCAGTTCGAGAATCCAAACTCCCTGTTATGGATTGAACTGTGTCCCCCAAAAATGTGTATCAACTTGGCTGGACTGTGATTCCCAGTATGGTGTGATTGTCCACCACTTTGTCATCTGATGTCATTTTCCCATGTGTTGAAAATCCTACCTCTATTATCTTAATGAGGCAGGATTAGAGGTAGTTATGTTAATGAGGCAGGACTCAAATCGACAGGATTAGACAGTATCTTGAGTCAATCTCTCTTGAGATACAAAAGAAGCAAGCAGAGAGTGAGGGACCTCATACAACCAAGAAACAAGAGCCAGGAGAACAGCATGTCCTTTGGACCCGGGGTCCCTGCACTGAGAAGCCTCTAGACCAGGGGAAGATTGATGACAAGGACCTTCCCCCAGAGCTAACAGTGAGAAAAAGTCTTACCCTGGAGCTAACACCCTGAATTCGGACTTCTAGCCTTCTAGACTGTGAGAGAATAAATTTCTGTTTGTTAAAGCCATCCACGTGTGGTATTTCTGTTAAAGCAGCACTAAGACACTCCCCAAAAGCAGTGGGAGGCAGGACAACAGCGAGGTCCTGGCAGGACTCAGACCTCACAGCTCAACCACAGAGCCATGAGGCTCTGTATTTGTTAATGAGCATGAACTACTTTTGGCCCCAAGACTTTAATACCTACATTGGTCATTTTGTAGTTGGTTGCTTTTTTAACTACATTTGTGGCCTCTTCCCCCCACCACACAGTAAATGGCAACATGACTAAAAACAAAACAAAGCCCAGCCATGTTTTCATCACCCCAATGACAGCCATGACACGGGTTACTCTGTCGGAAGGTCTCCTGGGATGAGCGTTCCTCCACAGGAGAGCTCACTGTGGGGTACATAAGGGCGCTACGGAAAGAGAGCAGCTAAGAGCTTCAGAAAAATAAGGCAGGGTCAGGAATGATCCCAAGCCAGGCAGGGCTCCTGAGGGAAGGCTTCCTGGGACGGCGACTGTGAGCCAGGCTCCTATCAGGAGAGAAGCGAGAACAGTCCCAGTGGGAGAAATGGCAGGTGTCGGGCAGGCCCACGGCCTGGATCTATGGTGGGAAACGGCAAGGACAGAGGGGGGTCACAGGCACCCAGGAACACTCAGGGCCCATCTGAAGGGACAGAGGCAGTTCTGGGCCCCCCTTCACAATAATAACACTCCCAGTTGCCATTGAGTTGACTCCGACTCACGGCGAACTCACATGTGTCAGAATAGAACTGTGCTCTGTGAGTTTTCAGTGGCTGATTTTTCGGAAGTAGATTCCCAGGCCTTACTTCTGATGTGCTTCCGGGTGGACTTGAACCTTCAACCTTTCAGTTAGCAGCCAAGCACATTAACTGTTTACACCACCCAGGGACTCCAATAATAGCAAATGTTGTTGTGTGTGGTAGAGTTGATTCCGACTCATAGCAACCCTATATGACAGAGTAGAACTGCCCCATAGGGTTTTCTAGGGTAAAATCTTCATGGGAGCACATTGCCAGGTCTTTTCTCCCACAGATCTGCTGGGTGTGTTCAAACCGCCTACCTTCAGTTAGCGGCTGAGTGCTTAACCATTGTGTAGCCATGGAAGAGGCTGCATAGGCCCAGCTCACTATTATTGACTCCCCATTGCTAACCGCCACATTGTCTCCTGATTTTTCCCTCCCGTTGTGGTCTCTACAAAAAGGTTTAAGATTAACTGATGTTCCTCCCTGGAGGGTGGAAAACAAGTGATAATGATCTAAGAATGAAAAACCAAACAAAGCATCCATCTTGTGACAAGAGTAAACAGGACGTCACTAGATAATCTCCAAAGATGTCACCAGATAACCTCTAAGAATACCAGTGGAAGGTTAACTCATCTAAGACATCACCACCTCAAAGAAAAACTACCATTAAAGATCCACAATCCTGTCCCTATAAGACTCCAGCCGATCTCCAGTGGGGGAGACGGGTTTTTTAGAGGAATCTATTCCCCTCTGTCCCCTGTATATCGATATATAATAAACATCTTGCTGCTCACCTCACCCGTCTCAGAATTGGCTATTGCGGCAGGCGGCTCCAATCCGCGTTATTGCAGTAACAGCCGCGGCAACTTATAGTAGCTATTACCAACATGTACTGATCTCTCACCTTGTATGGCTGAAGTCCAGAAACTGTTGGTTATTTGCCTGCTTTCCTACCACTAATCTGCAGAGACCAGGATTATTCTGCCCCACATTTTTCTACCTCTCAACTATCCTGCTGCCTCCCATGGAGGCCCGAGCCTGCAGCAAGGCCCTCTTAGAAATGTGAAAGCTTTCCAATCTTATTTATAGCTTTCTCAGTTCATCGCTTCTAATTGCTTTCTTGATAGGGACTATAGTACATGCTCTAGGTGTCTGGGAATGACCTGAAGTGGACGGGGAGGGGGAACTGAGATGTGAGTGTGGGACTGCTGCTGGGTCTGCATAGGCACCTAGGGCAGCTGGGGGCAGGGGTGTTTACATGGGGAATGCCAAAAGAATGGCCTAGGGGGATAGGGGTGAGCAGAGAGACTGCTCTGAACAAAGGAAATGGGACAATGGGATCAGAGAGAGGAAGATGGGCAAAAGAGAAAGAGTGAGTCATGTGGGGATGCGAGCTGCATCTTCATTCATGTGTCAATTCCTCATTCCCCAAATCCGAGTGAAGGCCTAGCCTACAGGGCAATGCATTTTATGTGGAGATTTCTTCTTGAAGAGCCTTGTTAATTCAAAACTCCCTGTAGGGCAAGACTCATCTTGCCATAAGAATGAATACAAAGCAGAAGGAGGATGCTGCCACTCAGCACGTAAAACCCACACTGTAAAATCCACAATTGCCGCAGCAGGCTGCTGTTGCCTTCTGCCTTCTTATGAGCTCTAGGATTATGAAGAAGTGTCGCCCAAAATTAACAGCTCGGTTTAATCCAGGCAGCTGCTTGGCTTGGACCACGGCCTTGTATGACATGGACATTCCACACAGATACTGACTTGAGGCACGTTTTTCAGCCCTGAGACTCACACAACCTCTTAATGAAGGGGTGGATGATATGTCAGAGGTTTTTTCATTGTTTTAAATTATAACAACAGTGAACTTAAAAATAGCAACACAAGAGTCACCAAAATCCGGGGCAGACTTCTGAGGCACGTAAACAACAGGACAGCAAAGGAACACTAACAGAGAAGGCGGACGGTTCTGTATTTCTCTTTGCCAGCTAAAGTGGTGCCACCATGTGGCAGCAGTGCTAAACACACAGTCACTCAGCCTGCTAGAGGCAAAGCAGAGACCTGGACTCAAGTCTGTGGACTCTAAAGTGGCATCTGAATCACTGCACTCCAGCTTGCAAATCTTGCTGTTCCCAATGAGTTTTCTAATTGGGTGGGGGCAGGGGGTGCTGTTGTTGTTAGGTGCTGAGTCGATTTTCAACTCATAGTCACCCCATGTGACAGAGTAGGACTGCCCTACTGCCCCCTAGGGTTTCTAGGCTGTAATCTTTACAGGAGCAGACCGCCAGATCTTTCTCCCACAGAGCCACTGGGTGAGTTTGAACCGCCAAGTTTTCAGTTAGCAGCCAAGCACTTAACCATTGTGCCACCAGGACTCCTTAATGGGGAGGGGGGTCTAAATTATTTCAAATTTTTCTCATAGATATATTTTTATATGGTTCTATTTCAAATTTAAATAATTAGAATCCACAAAAGATGCACCCTTACTAGGAGCTTTGTGCCAGGCTGGGGACCTGGCTGTGGAGCAGACAGGCCTGTGCCCCCCAAAGAGCTGACTGTGGGATGGGTGTTCTCAATTCAAGGAGAAAGTGCTAGGATGTCCCTGGGGTGTAGCACTACCTGGTTCTCCCCATTCTCTGGGAGATCGCACCAAGGGACAAGGAACACCTTTCAGACATCCAACCCCTGAGGAGCCCAGGACAGAGGTGACTTACTGCCAATGATTCGATTCCAACACATAGTGACCGTATAGGACAGAGTAGAACCGCCCCATAGGGTTTCCAAGGCTGTAATCTTTACGGAAGCAGACTGCCACATCTTTCTCCTGTGGAGCAGCTGTTGGGTTAGAAACATCGATCTTTCAGTCAACAACTGAGCACTTAACCACTGCACCACCAGTGCTCCTTAGAAGGGACTCACTGGGACAGAATTCCCAGTGTTCTCAGCTTCTGCCCTCAAGTACCACAGTTCTCTGAAGCACAATGTTTCTCGCCTCCCCTGCCCCGTTTTTAAGAGAAAATCAAGTAATGTGAAGTAGAAGTTAGGTTTAAAGTCACAGCATATGAGCATATGGCAAAACTACAAATAATCCTTAAAACTCCCTCAATCACCAGAAGCTGGGCCCTTGGGAATTGAAACGCCAATAATTAAATTGTTTCAGTTGTCTCTGTTGTTCAGCTAGGGCCTCCCTTTTCCTGAGATGGTGGGAAAAGGGTCTAGCTTGATGGGGATTGGGGAATGATGATAATAAATTTTTATTTCTCCCTCCTATGCTTGGAGCCCTGGTGGCGCAGTGGTTAAGAGCTCGGCTGCTAACCAAAAAGGTCAGCAGTTCGAACCCACCAGTTGCTCCCTGGAAACCCTATGGGGTAGTTCTACTCCGAGTGATAGGGTCGCTATGAGTTGGAATCAACTCAAAGGCAATGGGTTTGATGGTTTTTTTTGGGGGGGAGGGGTATGCTTTTTTGTTTGGCCAAGTCTCTAGAGTTGAATTTGTCTAAGTTAAATGAGTCTGTGATGCTACTGCACCACAAGACTTAAGACTAAAACCAAAAACCAAACCAGTTGCTGTCAAGTCAGTTCCAACTCATGGTGACTCCATGTGTGTCACAGCAGAACTGTGCTCCATAGGGTTTTCAGTGGCTGATTTTTCAGAAGTAGATCACCAGCCCTTTCTTCCTGGCTGCCTCTGGATGGACTCAAACCACCAACCTTTCAGTTAGCAGCAAGGGAAGTAACTGTTTACACCACCCAGGGACTACCAACCTCGGAGGAGTTGACAAAGCTACTCTAGGTAGATCGAGCTACAGCCATACGGCCAACCGTGACAACATTTGGGACCCTCTGACTGCCTAGAGACCCAGTGAACATCGAGAGGGGCTGGATGAAGAAGGAAGCAGGTGGCAGCTCCTTCCCCACTGGATTCACCCTCAGGGAGGCAGAGGAGCTCCTTACCCCCACCGCAGGCCTGGATGAAAAAGAGCTTGGGCTTCCCTCCCAAGCTGGGGCAGCCGGTGCCATTGAAGATGTTCACAATTCTCTCGATGGACACAGAATATCCATCTGTGCCATAGACGGCCCCCGGGAACTGGCGGTGACTGGCCTAGAAGACCAAGAATTCTGGTTATAAAACCAAGAAGTTGCGGCAGGAATCCAACAGCCTTCTGGATCTTTATGGGGGCCAAGCATTCAGAAGGTCCAAGCTGGAGGCAAGGGGTTGAGCCTGCAAGGGGTTGATGCTGCCCTGGCCAGCATCTATTCCAGGAGTCTTAACCTCATGCGCCTACAGGGCTTAGACGGCCTGACAGTGAGACAAGGCGGGTGGGGTGGAGCTACTGAACTGAAGAGTGCCAGCCGGCTTCCTCTAGATCGGTGGTTCTCAAAGTGGGTCCCTGGACCAGCAGCAGCAGCATCACCTGGGAACTTGTAAGAAACGCAAATTCTCGGCCCATCCCAGCCCTCCTGAATCAGAAACTCTGGTTGTGGACCAGCAGTCTGTGCTTTAACAAGTCCTCCAGGTGCCTCAACTGCAGCTAAGGTTTTTGTTTTTTTTTTTTTTTTTTTTTTTTTTGTGTGTGTGTGTGTGTGTGTGTGTGTGTGTGTGTATGTGTGTTTTAGGTGAAAGTTTACAGCTCAAATTAATTTCTCATACAAATATTTATACACATATTGTTAGGTAACAATAGTTGCAATCCCTATAATGTGACAGCACACTCCCCCTTTCCACCCCGAGTTTCCCATGTCCCTCCAACCAGCTCCTGTCCCGTCCCGCCTTCTCATCTTGCCTTCAGACAGGAGCCGCCCATTTGGTCTCATTTGTGTGCTTGAATTAAGAAGTACACTCTTCACGAGTATTATTTTGTTTTATAATTCAGTCTACTCTTTGAAGAGTGGGCTTCGGGAGTGGTTTCAGTTCTAGGTTAACAGCGTCCAGAAGCCATGGCTGTGGGGGTTTCTCCAGTCTCAGTCAGACCATTAAGTCTGGTCTTTTTACGTGAATTTGAGTTCTGCTCCACAATTTCTCCTGCACCATCAGGGACTCTGTTGTGTTCCCTGTCAGGGCGGTCACTGGTGGTAGCTGGGCACCATCTAGTTCTTCTCATCTCAGGCTGATGACGTCTCTGGTTTACATGGCCCTTTTGTCTCTTGGACTAATATTTTCCTTGTGTCTTTGGTGTTCATTTTCCTTTGCTCCAAGCAGGTTGGGACCAATCAATGTAGCTTAGATGGCCGCTCGCAAGCTTTTAAGACCCCAGACGCCACTCACCAAAGTGGGGATGCAGAACATTTTCTTAATAAACTTTGTTATGCCAAATGACCTAGATGTCCCCCAAAACCATGGTCCCCAGACCCTAGCCCCAGCTATTCTGTCCCTCAAAGTGTTTGGTTGTGTTCAGATTTCCTAGCTTTTGGTTTGGTCCAGTTGTGCTGACTTCCGCTGTATTGTGTGTTGTCCTTCCCTTCGCCTAAGACGATTCTTGTCTACTATCTAGTTAGTGAATTCCCCTCTCCCTCCCTCCTCACCCTCGAAACCATCAAAGAATGTTTTCTTCTGTGTTTAAACCTTTTCCTGAGTTCTTATAGTAGTGGTCTCACACAATATTTGTCCTTTTGCAACTAATTTCACTCAGCATAATGCCCTCCAGATTCATCCATGTTGTGAGATGGATTCATCATTGTTCTTTATTGTTGTGTACTATTCCATTGTGTGCATGTACCATAATTTGTTTACCCATTTGTCTGTCAATGGGCATCTAGGTTGTTTCCATCTTTTTGGTATTGTGCGCAATGCTGCAATGAACATGGGTGTGCATACATCTATTCGCGTGACGGCTCTTATTTCTCTGGGATATATTCCAAGGAGTGGGATTGCTAGACTGTATGGTAGTTCTATTTCTAGCTTTTAAGGAAGTGTCAAATCAATTTCCAAAGTGGCTGTACCATTTTACATTCCCATCATTAATGCATAAGTATTCCAGTCTCTCCACAACCTCTCCAACATTTATTATTTTGTGCTTTTTGGATTAGTGCCAGCCTTGCTGGGGTGAGCCAGTATCTCATTGTGGTTTTGATTTGCATTTCCCTAATGGCTAGTGATTGTGAGCATTTCCTCATGTATCTGTTAGCCGCCTGAATGTCTTCTTTGGTGAAGTGTCTGTTCATATCCTTTGCCCATTTTTTAATTGGGTTATTTGTCTTTTTGTTATGGAGGTTTTGTAGTGTCTTGTAGATTTTAGCAATTACATCTTTATCAAATATGTCTTAGCCAAAATTTTTTTACCAGTCTGTAGGTTCTCTTTTTACTTTTAGTGAAGTCTTTTGATGAGCATAAGTATTTGATTTTTAGGAGCCCCCAGTTATCTAGTTTCTCTTCTGGTGTTTGTGTATTGTTAGTTATGGTTTTTATTCTGTTTATGCCATGTATTAGGGCTCCTGTAGCTAAGCTTTGAGAAGAACTACTCTAGACCAATTCTTCTTAAACGTAAATGTGAATAAGAATCACCTGGGGACCTTGTTAAAGTACAGATTATGAGTCAACAGGTCCAGGATGGGGCCTGGGAGTCTGCATTTTTCACAAGCTCCCAGGTGATGCCCATGCTGCCAGTCCAGGGGCTTCACTGTAAAAGGACCAAGGGGGAAGCCACACCCAGCTACAGGCCAGAGTCTTGCTCTGTGAGGATGCCAGTCAGGGCAAAGCTAGGTCTTTGTGTTGTTTTCAAGAGAAGCCAGAAATCCCAAGTTTTGTGTGAAATTGGCCAGTTGTGAAAACACTGTGTAGAGCAGAGGAGGACTACAGGCCCCAATTTGTGATTTCTGATCTGTCCAACCCCCTCAAATTGAAAGATGAGGAAACTGAGGCCCAGGCTGGGGTAGGGGATTGGCCACAATGACCCAGCACACTGGTGGCCAAGTCCAGAGAGGGCCGAGTGACCTGCTGCCACCCAGCAGCAAAGGGCTAGAACAATGACTAGAGGACAAGAGCTGAGAACTCTGTGTGCTGTTCCTGGCTCTGAACAAAATCTAGGGGTAGACGCTTTGTGGGCAGAGTTTGTCTCCTCCTTCCCTCTCCCAGATGGCTTCTCCCAGGAACACCACCCCACCCAGGAAGAAGCATCCAAATCCTCCTCGGAGGACCAAATGGCTCCCGGACAACAACAGGGGAGTGGATGGGGCCCCACGCTCTTTCCCACAAAGCCACAGGTGTCTCTGACACAAAGGGGCAGCGATCCTGTACAACCTCTGGGCTCTTTTACCCTGTGCCTGCCTGAGGGGCTGAGGTGGGGTCAGGAGGCTCCTACCTGATGGCCGTGGGAGAGGATGACCACCACACAGCAGTCCAGTGCTCCATGGTCCCGCTGCGCCAGCTCCCCTAGAGCCAGGAGCATGTCCTGTGAGACAAGGGTGCAGTTGAGCCAGAAGGGCTGAGGAATCGGGTTCCCATTCTTGGCCCTTCTGGGCAATAAAAGAGCCCGTCCTGAAGGCCTGGGCAGAGCACTCTTCTGCTCCCAGGGGCCACATGCTGGAGTAATGACAGTCACAACTGTCATAATGGTACCATTCTTGGGGAACAGATGCTCTGCTGGGGTGCCAGTTCACTTAACCCTCACAACAACCCTATGAGGTGGGTATTATTAGTATTCTCTAGACAAGGAAACTGAGGCACGGGGGGTCACCCAGCAGGTAACCGAGAGAGCCAGTCCTATCTGAGGTCTATGAGTCTGAAGTTTAAACCTGCAACCACTGAACCATATTCCCTCTCACAGTCCTACAGACATAGGGTTCATCTTAGAGCACTAGTTTACCTTAGGGTCCCACAAGGACACTGCTCCGCCCAGCCCCTCACCTTTTTCCACAGGCAGTGACTTTACCTTGGCAGTCAGGTCACACTTCACTTCCACCATGAAATGCAGCGAGCGGAAGCGTCGTTGCAACTTCTCACAGTCGATATCGGAGCCAGTGCGGGAGCTGAGCCCCGAATTGAGGCAGAAGTTCACATTGTTGATAATGAGGCAGTAGCCACAAGGGTCAGCCTCCAGGACGTATGCCTGCCCAAGCACAGGGACCAGTGTGAACCTGGGGTCTCACTGCACTCCTCCAAAGAGAAGGTAGCCCCCAGGTTTACGCATGTGGTTGACAGCCTGCAGAGGTGGGAGAGAACATGGCGTCTGCCTCCCACTGTAGGAGCAGCAGGGTCTACACCCAGCATTCTGGGGCAGAAGAGAACAGAGTGCAAAGCAGATGGGTGTAAGCACTATCTGGGTGTTAGGGATTGAATTGTGTCCCCCCAAAATATGTGCTGGAATCCTAAGCTCTATACCTGCAGATGGAGACCTGGCGGCGCAGCTCAGCTGCTAACCAAAAAGTCAGCAGTTCGAATCCACCAGCCACTCCTTGGAAACCCTGTGTTTTCTACTCCGCTATGAGCCAAAGTCCAAAGTCGACTGGACAGCAATGGGTTTGGCTTTTTGTTTTTGTTTTTGGATACTGTAGATGTGATACTGGTTAGAAATAGCTCTTTGTTAGGTTAATGAGGCTATACCAGTGTAGGGTGCGTCCTAAACCTTCTGAGTTACACGAAAACCTGCAAAAGCCAGAACCAGTGTAAGGCAGAAACCTGTCAGAGAAGGAAAACCCACTGGGTGTTTATGAGGTAGGATTCTTAGTAGATACCGATAAAAAAGGGGTAAGCAACCTGTCACAGGCAGAAAACTTTCAAGACTCAGAAAAATAAGGCAATCCCGTCGAGTTTTGGCTCTCACAGGTTTCACTGTATAAGGAGCAGCACAGACACAGAGACAAGAAAGCATGAACTGGGGGGCAGCAGAGGGGGAGTAGATGCAACATGAAGATCACCGAGGAACCGAGGAACACCAGGGCCACAGACACTTGAAAGGGACAAGGATCTGCCCCCAGACAGAGACAGAAAGCCTTCCCCTAGATCCAGTGTCCTGAATTCGGACTTCTAGCCTCCTGAACGCCGAGAATATAAATGTCTGCTCTTTAAAGCCATCCCCCGTGGTATTTCTGTTACAGCAGCACTAGCAAACTAACATACGGTGTGACTTGCAAATAGATAAACTTCAGAGAGATGTTTAGCTCCCATTCAGTATTCAGTATGGGAGCTGCCAGCTAAGAAATCCAACACTCATAATATTCACCTCAAAAAAACCTCACAGATCATCCAGTCCAGCGGTCCTTAACGAGGGGTGCACCTGAGAATGACGTCGACAGACTCATGCCCAGGCCCACCCTCAGGACATGGGAGGCGGCTCCCTCCCCAGGCTCAGTAATTCTCTCTCACACTGTGGTATTTGTTGTTGCTGTTAGTTGTCCTCGAGTTGAGTCTGACTCATGGCAACCTTACGTACAACAGAACAAAACGTTGCCCAGTCCTGCGCCATGTTCACAACTGATGCTTTGTTTGAGTCCAATATTGTGGCCATTGTGTCAGTCCATCTCATTGAGGGTTTCCCTCATTTTCGCTGACCCTCTTGATGACGCGTCCAAAGTAAGCAAAGTAAGCAAGAAGAGATCATGCCATTCTCACTTCTAAGGTTGCAAGAATGGTTCTATTTCTTCTTAGACTGATTTGTTCGTTCTTCTGGCAGTCAAGAGTATATTCAACATCCTTGGCCAATGCCACAGTTCAAACACATCAATTCTTCTGTCTTCCTTTTTCACTTACCACTATGTACTTCTATTTATATACGTATTTGTGTGTCTGTCTAACTTCTCTCTCCTGTGCTCTACTGGTAGCTCCACAAGGGTTTGAAACACATGTGGTCTGTTCCCCAGATATCCCCAGCACAGAGCTCAGGGCTGGCGCACAGGAATCACCCAGTAAATATTTGTGAACGAAAGTGATTGATTCGGTCTGGGGTGGACACCACACCCGATTCTGAAGCTGACCCCTGGTGAAGTCTGACCCCTTGACTTTACAGATGAAGAAAGAACAGGTTGGACAATCTGCTGTAGCAGGCGCTATGCTAGGCCAGGAGCTGTGAGAGGGCTAGACTGGAACCTGACTCTCCCCTGGGTTGGGTCCCCTGGGTTCCCGGCATTCCCGATACACCTGCAGGGAAGGACCTGGGGAGTGGAGAGCACAAGAGCCCAACACCAGAGCAACTGGCCCCAAATCACACGAAGACTCACCAAATTGGCCTTTCCTCCCCATCTTGGAGCACCTGGAAAGATAGAAAGAGGGAAACCATGAATGCCAGGGTCCAGTGGGAGAGGGCAGAAGAGACGCTGTGAGGAAAGTTCTGACAAAAATGAAGAGGAGCAGGCACTCAGGAACCCTCAGACACTGCTGGTGAGAGTCAAGTGGTCCAGCCACCTTGGATAAGTGTTTAGCTGCTTCTAAAGTTAAGAGTGCAATGATAGTTCCACGGTAGAATTGTTGCCTTCCACATGCGAGACAGCTTGATTCCTGGCTAATGCACCTCATGCATATCCACCACCTGTCTGTCGGTGGAGGCTTGCGTGTTCCTATGATGCTGAACAGGTTTCAGCAGAGCTTCCAGACTAAGATGGACTAGGAAGAAAGGACTGGTGATCTACTTCCAAAAATCAGCCAGTGAAAACGCTATGGATCACAACGGCCTGATCCGCAACTGATCATGGAGACGGCACAGGACCAGGCGGCATTTGTTATGTTGTGCACGGGGTCACTGTGAGTCGGCAGCAGTGAACAACAATGATAGTGTTAAACACACACCTATCCTCTGACCAGCAATTCTACTCCCCGGTATAAAACCAAGAGAAACGAGCACGTATGGGCACAAAAAGGCCTGGCTAAGAATATTCACTGAAGAAGCCTTATTCATAATGCCCCAAACTGGAAGCAACCCAAACAGCCATCAACAAGTTGAAGGATAAGCAAATTGTGATCCTCCGCCATATAAGGCAAAACAACAACAACATGGCCTAAAAAGGAAAAAGCTGCCAAGATATAAAATGACATAGATAAGCTTGTAGACATTATGCTGAGGGGAAAAAAAAAAACCAGACCCAGAAGAGTATCTACGGTGGGGGATCCCATTTATATGACATTCTCGAACAGAAAGGGGTAAGGAAAGCTCCAGGAGAGCAGATGTTCCCCGTCTGTACAACCCATGAGGCCCAGCACACAGTAGGGCCTTAGAAAATATTTGCAGAACAAATAAATGAGTAAAGACGGTCATTTCTCCTTCAATGTCAACAGAGTTTTCTTTTCAGTTAGCAAGAACTCAGCTGGCCACCAATCTATGAGGTAGTGGGGCTTTTCTTTCTTTTATAAACAAAGAGAACACGATCACTTTTGTTCTGGAGCCTATATTCGCGTTCCAATGATGCTTAGAGCAAGCACGGACCCCTTGTTAGGAATTCATATCTCACCAGTTTAAAGCCACAACAGAAAAGCAGTCACATCCCATTTTTTAATTACAAATTGTCTTACCTGGCCTGAAGACATCAGGCCATTGACGAATTCTGAGAACTTTTGTTCATTTCTAAAATTCCACTGTAACCCAAAAATACAACTGTTATCCACTACCGAGAAATTCCTTCATTCCCCGAATTAGCACAAAAGACCCACAAAGCAAAATAGCCGCTCTCAAGCAGCTCATGAGATATAATGACAGAGGACTTGCCCTACCTCCCACCACACTGGGTGGTTCAGATGACCCGAGAAAGCACGATGTATACTATAAAGTGATATACACATTTAAAGTGATCTTATTGCTATTATTATTTACCCTTCAGATTTAAGCTCCTACTGGGAATAAATGTTCACAACAAACAGGAAATAAAATACCTCTCAAAAGAACAGAAGGCTTCAAGGCCAGACTCCTGGTCCTACATGGCTCAATCAACATTTTCTAGAACCAGATAACAACAGTTGGACTTTGTATTTTGCCTGCCTCCTTTACAACATGATAATGAAGTGTGTGAGCAATTCGGGGACAGGCCTATCTTTCTTATACCTCGGGCAAACACAGCTTAACATCTTCGTGGTGTTTGTTCATTTCTCTGCTTAAATGGGCTGTCCAAAATCACACAATTATTCAGCACAGAAAACGAATACCATTTTTTGCCCATCACATTGGAAAAAATGTTTGGGCATTTTCCTCACTGTTGGGAAAATGGTCATCTTCACTCACCCATGGTTGGTGAGATTTATAAACTGGCACATTTTAGAAATACAAGTTGGTAGCATCTGTCAGAGGGAATATGTATCCTTTAACCCAGTAATTCCATTTCTAGAAACGTATCTCCCAGTCATATAGATGCACAGGCAAGGCCATTGCAGAATCAACACAAATGACCAGTAATAGGGGCTGGATATATGAAATACAGTGCAGGGCACGTGAGGGGCTACACAGCAGGCTACACAGCAGAGCATTTGGAATGAGGAAGCCTGGACTGGAATCCTGTTTCCACTTCTCACTAGTGTGTGATTTGGGGCAAGTCATTTCCCAATCTGTGACTCACTGTCTGCTACAAAACTGTAGCACCTACCTCACCAGGGAGTTGGGAAGATTAAATGAGATCATCTATGTAAGCACTTCAGTGCTCAGCAACGGTAACCATTACTATTATTACTATTAACATACATAGGCAACCCTGGGGTAGGAGGCGCTAGATCTCCACACTGTTGCCATGAAACAAAACCCAAATTGAAAACAACCCACATATTCATCAACAAGAGAATGGATAAACTGTGGATTATTCAAAATAGGGAATACTACCCAACAATGAAGGTGCCCTGGTAGCACAGCAGTTAAGCACTCAGCTGTTAACTGAAAGGTGGGAGGTTTGAACCCACCAGCCGCTCCACGGGAGAAAGGTGTGGCAGTCTGCTTCCTTAAAGATTATAGCCTTGGAAACCCTATGAGGCAGTTCTACTCTGTCCTATAGGGTCACTATGAGTTGGAATCGACTTCATGGCAACAGGTTTAGTTTTTAATGGATTTACCCACCAATGCCAAAGAAGGAACTACTGATACGTAGAACAATATGAATGAATCTCACAGATATAATGATGGGGGAAAGAAGCCAGGATTCCATTTATACTGAAGTTCAAGGACAAGGAAAAGGGATCTATGGCGATAAAAGGTCATTACCCTGGGGGAAGAAGAGTGGGAGTTGACTGGGAAGGGGCACGAGAGAGTCTTACAGGATGGCAAATGTTCTATATCTTGATCATCTGGGTTTTACCTGTAATGTGCACATAGGTAAAAATTATCCAGCTGTACTCTTGGGATTTATGCATTTCACTGGATATATATATTAAACTTCATAAAAAAAATTTAAGTGAAAGAAGGAAATTATAGAACTGTGTGTACTGTATAATTCCTTAAAACACACACACACACACACACACACACACACACACACACACACACACACACGTTGCTATAGTCATAGAAAAAGTTTTAAGACACATACCAAACTGTTAAAGAAAATATGAAGATATGAACCTATGACTTCTGGGGCCCTTTGTTCTAAACAAAGGCGCCTTGGTGGTGCAGTGGTCAAGGGCTCAGCTGTTAACCAAAAGGTCAGCAATTCGAACCCACCAGCCCTTCCTCAGGAGAAAGATGTGGCAGTCTGCTTCCTTAAAGATTACAGCCTTGAAAAGGAAGGACAGCACGCACTACAGGGGAAGTTTGCATAACTGGACTAAACCAAAGCTAAGAAGGTTCCTAACTACAATCAAACATTTTGAGGGATACAGTAGCAGGGGTAGGGGTCTGGGGACCATGCTTTCAGGGGACATGTAGGTCAACTGGCATGACAAAGCTTATTAAGAAAATGTTCTGCACCTACTTTGGTGAGTGGCATCTGGGGTCTTAAAAGCTTGCAAGTGGCCATCTAAGATGTATCTGAGATAAGAGGAACTAGATGGTGCCCGGCTACCACCAATGACTGCCCTGACAGGGAACACAACAGAGAGTCCCTGATGGAGCAGGAGAAAGGCGGGGTGCAGAACTCAAATTATAGTAAGAAGACCAGACTTAATGGTCTGACTGAAACTGGCCCTTGGATTCTCTATCAGCCCAGAACTAAAACAATTTCCGAGGCCAACTCTTCAGATAGGGATTGGACTGGACTGTGGGACATAAAGTGATATTCATGAGGTATGTGCCTCTTAGCTCAAGTAGATACAAGAGACTAAAGGGGCAGCTTCTGTCCAGAGGTGAAATGGGAAGGCAGAGAGGGTTAGAAGCTGGTTGAATGGACATGGGGAATCAGGGGTGGAAAGGAGAAGTGTGCTGTCACAGTATGGGGAGAGCAATTAGAATCACATAACAATGTATGTATAAACTTTTGTATGGGAAAAAGTAAAAAAAAAAGATTACAGCCTTGAAACCCTATGGGGCAGTTCTACTCTGTCCTGTAGGGTCGCTATGAGTCAGACTCAACTCCAGGGCAATGGGTTTGGTTTGGCTGGGTTTGGTCTAACCGTGAGCTCCCACATCCTTTTGGTGAAGCACGGGACTAGCCGACAAAATCAACCCCACCATCTTTTGGCTCCTTTTTCACTAGCAAGGGCCACTAGCGAGTGAGTTCCCTACCGTCCCCTTGTAAATTTTGGCCCATACAGTATGGTACCATCACACACTTACTGGTGTTCATGAATATGCAAAGCACTTTTGCATGAAGATCTTACTTCATCCTCCAAGTCCCTATAAGCTGAATAATCAATCAGAGCTCTGATTTCAAACTGGTTTTCATTTATCCATTAACAGATATCTCACGGCAGCATAAGCCATAAGATAAGCTACAGTGCTAGAAAGATGGCATGAAATGATAGCAAAAAGAATGGGCTCTGGCATCACACCCCAGTTCCACCACTTACCAGCCTTATGAGCTTAGGTAAACTATCTAACCCCCCTGAGCCTCAGTTTACTGTTCGGCCAGGATGGGTGTACTGAAACCTGCCTTACAAGGTTGTCTGAGGGAAGGAGGTATGGGTATGCAGATGCCTGATGCAGGCAGAGCCCTCCTTCCTGCCCCCAGGCCTGGGCTAGTCCTCACCACCCACCTAGACCCAAAGGCAAATCCTAAACAGTTAACTTGATCTAGAAAACAATAATGAAAACCCAAGACATCCAAAATAAGCTGTTCAGAGGAGGGACTGTCAAAATTAAATCTCCTGAAGGCCTACCAGAATATTCCACCCATCTCCTATGTTGTTGTTGTTAGGTACCCTTGAGTCGGTTCTGACTCACAGCGACCCTATATACAACAGAGCAAAACACTGCCCTGACTTGCACCATCCTCACAATCTTTGTTATACTTGAGCCCATTGTTGCAGCCACTGTGTCAATCCATCTCATTAAGTGTCTTCCTCTTTTTCACTGACCCTCTACTTTACCAAGCATGATGTCCCTCTCCGGGGACTGATCCCTCCTGATAACATGTTCAAAGTATGTGAGACATAGTTTCGCCATCCTTGCTTCTAAGGAGCATTCTGGCTGTACTTCTTCCAAGACAGATTTCTTCATTCTTTTGGCAGTCCATAGTATATTCTGTATTCTTCACCAACACCGCAATTCAAAGTCATCAATTCTTCTTTGGTCTTCCTTATTCACTGTCCAGCTTTCCTATGCACATGAGGTAACTGAAAACACCATGGCTTGGGTGAGGCGCACCTTAGTCTCCAAGGTGACATCTTTGTTTTTTTAACACTTTAAAGATGTCTTTCGCAGCAGATTTGCCCAATGCAATGCGTCTTTTGATTTCTTGATTGCTGCTTCCATGGATATTGATTGTGAATCCAAGTAAAATGAAATCTTTGACAACTTCAATCTTTTCTCCATTTATCATGATGCTGCTTAGTGGTCCATTTATGAGGATTTTTGTTTTCTTTATGTTGAGGTGTAATCTATCCTGAAGGCTGTGGTCTTTGATCTTCATCAGTAAGTGCTTCAAGTCCTCCTCACTTTCAGCAAGCAAGTTTGTGTCATCTGCATAATGCAGGTTGTTAATGAGTCTCTCTCCAATCCTCATGCCCCATTCTTCTTCATATAGTCCAGCTTCTCAGATTATTTGCTCACCATACAAACTGAATACGTATGGTGAAAGGATACAACCCTGACGCACACCTTTCCTGATTTTAAACCATATAGTATTCCTTTGTTCTGTTCGAAAGACTGCCCCTTGACCTATGTACGGGTTCCTCATGAGCACAATTAAGTATTCTGGAATTCCCATTTTTTGCAATGCTATCCATAATTTGTTATGATCCACACAGTCGAATGCCTTTGCACAGTCAATACAACACAGGTAAACATCTTTCTGGTATTCTCTGCTTTCAGCCAGGATCCATCTGACATCAGCAATGATATCCTTGGTTCTACGTCCTCTTCTGAATCCTGCTTGAATTTCTGGCAGTTCCCTTTCGATGTACTGCTGCAGCTGCTTTTGAATGATCTTCGGCAAAATTTTACTGGCATGTGGTATTAATGATATTGTTCGATAATTTCCATATTCAGTTGGATCACCTTTCTTGGGAATAGGCATAAATACGGATCTCTTCGAGTTGGTTGGCCAGGTAGCTGTCTTCTAAATTTCTTGGCATAGATGAATGAGCACCTCCAGCGTCGCATCCGTTTGTCGAAACATCTCAATTGTCAATTCCTGTTGTTGTTAGGTGCCATCAAGTCAATTCTGCAACCCTATGTACAACAGAACGAAAACATTGCCCGGTCCTGTGCCATTCTCACAATCCTTGCTATGCTTGAGCCCATTTTTGCAGCTACTGTGTCAATCCATCTCACTGAGGGTCTTCCTCTCCTTCACTGGCCTTCTACCCTACCAAGCATGATGTCCTTCTCCAGGAACTGATCCCTCCTGATAACATGTCCGAAGTATGTGAGATGTAGTCTTGCCATCCTTGCCTCTAAGGAGCATTCTAGTTGTACTTCTTTCAAGACAGATTCGTTCATTCTTTTGGCAGTCCACGGTATATTCAATATTCTTCGCCAAAACCACAATTCGAAGGCATCAATTCTTCTTCAGTCTTCCTTATCCATTGTCCAGCTTTCGCATGCACCTGAGGTAACTGAAAACACCATGGCTTGAGTTAGGCGCACCTTAGTCTTCAAGGTGACATCTTTACAACACTTTCAAGAGGTCTTTTGTAGCAGATTTGCCCAATGCAATGTGTCGTTTGATTTCTTGACTGCTGCTTCCATGGGTGTTAATTGTGGATCCAAGTAAAATGAAATCCTTGACAACTTCAATCTTTTCTCCGTTTATCATGATGATGCTTACTGCTCCAGTTGTGAGGATTTTTGTTTTCTTCATGTTGAGGTATAATCAGTGCTGAAGGTTGTGGTCTTTGATCTTCATCAGTAAGTGCTTCAGGTCCTCTTCACTTTCAACAAGCAAGATTGTGTCATCTGCATAATGCAGGTTGTTAATTCCTGGAGCCCTGTTTTTTGCCAATGCCTTCAGTGCAGCTTGAACCTCTTCTTTTAGTACCATCAGTTCTTGGTCATATGATACCTCCTGAAATGGCTGAACGTCAATCAATTCTTTTTGATATAGTGACTCTGCGTATTCCTTCCATCTTCTTTTGATGCTTCCTGCGTTGTTTAGTATTTTCCCCATAGAATCTTTCAATATTGCAACTCGAGGCTTAAATTTTTTCTTCAGTTCCTTCAGTTTGAGAAATGCCGAGCGTGTTCTTCCCTTTTGGTTTTCTAACTCCAGGTCTCCGCATATGTCATTATAATACTTTACTTTGTCTTCTCGAGCCACCCTTTGGAGTCTTCTGTTCAGCTGTTTTACTTCATCATTTCTTCCATTTGCTTTAGATATTCGATGTTCAAGAGCAAGTTTCAGAATCTCTTCTGACATCCATTTTGGTCTTTTCTTTCTTTCCTGTCTTTTTAACAACCTCTTGCTTTCTTCATGTATGATGCCCTTGATGTCATTCCACAAGTCGTCTGGTCCTCAGTCATTAGTGTTTGAAACGTCAAATCTATTCTTGAGATGGTTTCTAAATTCAGGTGGAATATACGCAGTGTTGTTTTTTGGCTCATGTGGATTTGTTTTAATTTTCTTCAGCTTCAACTTGAACTTGCATGTGAGCAATTGATGGTCTGTTCCACAGTCGGCCCCTGGCCTTGTTCTGACTGATACTGAGCTTCTCCGTCATCTCTTTCCACAGATGGAGTCGATTTGATTCCTGTGTATTCCATCAGGCAAGGTCCACATGTATAGTCGCCATTTTTGTTGGTGAAAAAAGGTATTTGCAATGAAGAAGTCGTTGGTCTTGCAAAATTCTATCATGTGATCTCCAGCATTATTTCTATCACCAAGGCCATATTTTTCAACTACTGATCCTTCTTTGTCTCCATCTTCCTCATTCCAATCACTAGTAATTATCAACGCATCCTGATTGCATGTTCAATCAATTTCAGACTGCAGAAGTTGGTAAGAATCTTCACTTTCTTCATCTTTGGCCTTAGTGGCTGGTGTGTAAATCTGAATAATAGTCATATTAACTCCCTATGAGCACTTAAAAAGATAATTCTATGGGCCAGTTCTACTCTGTCATATAGGGTCACTATGAATAGGAATTGAAAATTAAATTCTGGATCTCAGCCCACCTAACTGCACCAATGGTCACTCCCCAATGGCTGCTCATCATGCCCACTCACCAACCACTCTGGATACTCACAGGCATCACGGAGTTCTCCAGAGCCAGTGGTCACTGGCCTGGGCACCTGTGGTCTGAGAACCTCTGGCCTGAGCTCAGTTGGTCTGAGTTTGTCAGGCCTCAGCACCACTGTGGGCAGACGTCCCATGGTCGACCTTGATGGATCCTGCTTAACCACTCTCATCTCATCCGGGTTGAAGCCCACTGGTCCAGGCACAAGGTCCCGGGGTCTGATGGCTTCCAGATTCTGCTCTGCTGTTTGGCGACTCGTGTTCAGGAATGAAGCCAGCATGTCCTGGCCTGTGTCCTGTAAGCAGGAGATGAACAAAGGAAGGGCCTGTCTCCCTCGAGTCTCTAGATCTGTGATCAGCTGCCTGGCCTGATCCCGCCGAGATCCAGAGCCTGCTCCCTGTTTGGAAAGAAAGACAAAGCACTAATTACCCAAGAGGGCAGTGGTAGTTCAGTGGTAGAAGTCGTTCCTTCCAGGCAGGAGATCGGGTTTGATTCTTGGCCAGTGTACCTCAAGCACAGTCATCACCCGTCTGTTAGTGGAGATTTGCTTGTTGCTATAATGCTGAACAGGAACTTTGTGGTGTAGTGATTAAGAGCTCAGCTGCTAACCAAAAGGTCAGCAGTTCAAATCCACCAGCCGCTCCTTGGTAACCATATGGGGCAGTTCTACTCTGTCCTACAGGGTCGCTGTGAATCAGAATTGACTTGACAGCAATGGGTTGGGTTTGTTTGTTTTTTAATGATGCTGAACAGGTTTCAACGGAGCTTCCAGACTAAGACGGACTAGGAAGAAAGGCCTGGTGATCTACTTTCAAAAACGAAAACCCTATGGGTCACAATGGTCTGCTCTACAACCAAGGCGTTAGGGAAAATGGGTGTTCCCACACAATGGTCTCCCAGAGAGTGGGTACTGGGTGGCACGGAACAGGGAGGGGAGGGCGCGTATGTAGGTCCTCACCCTAGCTCGGAGACTAAGTGTAATGGAAGTCTGCGGGCGGCGCGGGAAGTGGGGGAGCGGACAGTCGCGGGAGAACCGGCGGGGCGGGGGCGCACCTGGATTTCTTCGATCATGTCGGGCGTGAAGAGCCCGCGGCTAAGCAGCGCGTCCCAGAGCTCAGCCACCTGCAGCTCGCAGACCAGTTGCAGCCGGCACCGTCGCAAGAGCTGCCGATCTGCCTCGTCCATGGCGGACAGACGACTTTGAACCCGACCCGCAGTCGTCCGCTTCCGGGCCTGGCCTCCGCACCGCACCCCGCTCCAGGACCCGCCCCGCGCTGCACCATAGCCCCGCCCCCGCATCACCGTCCGCCACTACCCTGCCGTCGCCTCCACCAGCAACGCCTCCATGTCCCCAGGACCCGCCCGGACCCGCCCCGCGCTGCACCATAGCCCCGCCCCCGCATCACCGT